GTGAAGAGCGGAACGGAACGGCGAAAATCGAAAAAGGAAGTTTGTACTTTGTACTGCTGTCGGCATGCTGCACGATGGAAGGAGGAGGAAGGGAGGGGGGAGAAGAAGAAAGAAAAAGAAACATGTTTACTCACGTTCTCGCCGCCTGTACCAGTTCCGACACTTTCGAAGCACTTCACGCTGTCGATCGAAATCGTCGAACGTAGGAGTGCGGTAACGCACCGGTTTTTTTACGAATGCCGGGCAGACACTTTTCTCGTACCACCGGTGATAATGTGTCTCGCGGACTACGTTCACGATCGCGGGCCTGTCGTTGCACCTTGACGAGAAACGCGAAATACGTTGGCGGTTTTTTTCGCCTCGTCGGTCGTTCACGCGAGAGTACGTGTCACTGTAGTAGAGATACCGTGGACCCCCTTGTTGCACAGAATTCTTTCGAAGAAGGCTTATCACGCTTCCGATCCGCAGACACGGAATTGATGAAAAAGAATTGGTTTCACGACGCTGGGAATTATATATCGGGAACGTGCGACTCTGGCACGGCCGTAATATCACCGATACGCGCGTACGTATTACACACGAGTTTGGATAAAGACGCACGAACGAATACGTTCGCACCGGTCGGTGGTTCTGGCACGACTGGAACACTGGAGGGGAGACGTCTCCACTTTACATATGGCTGCGCATCGTCCGATGATCAATCGACTCCGATCCCTATTCAAACGGTTTTACAAATTCCTCTATTACTTCTGTGAATAAAAATTACACGCGTACAGGAATAATAATTAATATAAATATCACTCACCAAGTTACAAATTTGAATGTAGCGATTATCTTCTGAAGCAGCAGTAGAAGGATCATCGTTTGTTGATAAGGGAACGAATTTAAATGGAAGTTATAGAAAAAAAAAATACATTTACACAAAATTTCGTATGACTACTAGTTAGGGAACATTATTATTCATCACTTATTTAAAAATAATTCTTTGGAGGCAGTATCTCTTTCAAATAGGAGGCAGTTTTCAGGATTGATAAATCAGTCGGTATTGCAGAGATCTTTGAATAAAATGGCAACACCACAGATGAGGTATATGAATCATATACCTGATTTATGATATGGGACAAGGAAAAGTATTAGGTATCTGGTCTATTCTAGTTAATCAATGGTATCATCACTTATATTCAATTCAATAAATAATTCTCGGAGCAGATGTGACAAAACTGTCCATATTTTTCTCAATTCTCACTACTAGTAGTGCTGCGGTGCAAAACCTGCCTGGATCGATAAGACAGGATGTGATACGAAAATGGTAAGTGGGATCTAGAACCCTGAAATCGTAAAACAAAAAAATACATCGTCTATGATCTATTCATATACCTCGTCTGTGGCTGTGCTTTGGCTCATTAAGAAGCGAAGAATACGATCACAGACGAGGTATATGAATAAATATTGCAAGCCATGTCACAGACGAGGAATATGAATAGACATTGCATCTTACGGACTTTTGTGGCCCGTGACCTGAAATACCGACACACTAAAAAATCACTGGTTTTTTAGCGCACTCTACGTTTAGACAACGGTGAGTTGGGGAACTAATCAATGAAACAGCAACATGATTTTGAAACCCGTTACAGTGTTGTCAAACTTTCAATACCGAACTGTAAAGCTAGTAAGCATAGACGAAGTAACCGAAATCATTCTATTCTATATCAAGAAAAAGTCTATCCATGTTTTACAGACTTGTCACAACTTTTTTCAACACACAATAAATTAAAATTTTTAAATTATTAATACATAGTTTTATGTATAAAATTTTAACAAAATTTTCAGCCACTGACTACTACTTCACCGATTTCGGTGATTTTTAAATGTATTGCGAAAATATTTTTTCATGTAACGCATATGTTGGACTTCATTCATTAGAGGAAAGGGTCGTTCAGGCTATCGAATTCTAAATGATATTTAAAAATCGTCGAAATTAATGAAACAGTGGTTAATCTACAAATTCACCGGCAATCAAAATGAAAGAAAATGCAATGTTTTAAACTAATAAAATTTTAATACTAACGTATATACATACATATATATATATATATATATATATATATATATATATATATA